GCCGATTGCAGCCGAGATGCTGAAGAAGGAGGGTGTGTATGATCCGAAACGACTATTTGGTGTGACGACCCTAGACATTATCCGAACCAACACGTTCATCGCTAGTTCTAAGGTAATGCATACTTTTAACTGTTTTCAATCTTGCTTGGCACTAGCCGGATTTTTTTGTAATATCCATGGTCAAACTGCCGCCATATTGGTGTTCTGCATAATTCAATCCCCAATTGGTCTTCCCGTCAGTGTCAGCAAATTGTTAGCTTTCTGGGTTGCTAAAATAGCTGTTTTGTATTAACTCACTTGTTTTAAATTTGCATACACTCATCCATTTCTTGCTAATCCCGATCGTTTCCCTCCAGGGTCTGGACGTTTCCAAGGTGTCATGTCCTGTCATCTGTGGCCATTCTGGCAACACCATCATTCCTGTCATATCTCAATGCACTCCGTCGGTATCATTCACCCAGGTAAATTCTATTATACGAAATTGTCTGCGTTGTCGCTCCTGCGTTTGTAGTTGCTTTCATGATTTAAGTAGGCTGGTCTGGTTGCAGATTTGCTACAACTCCATGAGTGATTTTTGGCACATTTTAGAAAACTCGTGAAGAAATTACCGCTCGTATTCAGAACGCCGGGACCGAAGTTGTGAATGCAAAGGCTGGAGCGGTATGTGGATGAGTGTTTTCTCTCTCGAGATTTCTGATTTTGCGGCTCCCTTTCTTGACACAATCAAAGAGGGCATTTGTGCTAAGTTATCAGAACTAGGGAGAGTTGCAAACTATGCTGCAATCTTGGTGCATAGTGCTGCTGTCCTCTAAGTATTCTAAAGTGGATTCTAGTAGGAGTCTCTGGCGTTAGCAAAGCCATTATTTTCAACGCGAAGCCAGTCGGTTTGATTGTGAAACCTATACAGCCTTGGTTTGTCTTCAGTGACAAATTTTGGTTAAATTATCACGTGTCATGTTGCAAGTAAATGCTGTACCTAACCAATCACCACCACTTGCAAAGGAAGTCTGATGTTTCATTGAGTAAGTGGCACACGTGGAGGAATGTTTTAAGGTTAAATGTTGGCAAATCTTCAGTCGGATCAACAACCATTGAGCCAAAACGATCTGCCGTTGTTTTATCAAATGTATTTAAACATGACGCCTCCGCGTTTGCTCCCTGTTGAAATGACTTGTGAATGTGCTGTTTGTGGTGTCACTGACTGGCCTCGTGAGGACACCACACGCGTCTCCGGGGTCATCGTTGGCGCTCCTAAGTGTCAGAATTGTTTACTTTGCGTCCTCAGTTGGGGCGCAGTTTGCGTGCCACGAGGTCACGACTTCCTGTTTTTTTGTCAAGGGTTCGGCAACTCTTGCCATGGCCTACGCAGGCGCACGCTTCGCCAACTCGCTTCTGCACGCGATGAAGGGCCACGCGAACATCGTTGAGTGCACCTTCGTTGAGTGCGATGTGGCCGATACCGAATTCTTTGCTAGCCCTGTTCTCCTCGGGGTGAGTTCCGTCGCCTTGTGTGGGTGCTCGAGAAATTAGCGTGTAATCACTGCTATGTTTCGATTTTAGCCAAACGGTGTTGAGAAGGTGTACGGAATCGGCAAACTCAACGAGTACGAGATTGACTTGCTGAAGAAGGCGTTGCC